GGGGGGGGGCGCCGCCGCCGCCGCCGCCGCCAGTTCCCCCCCTTCTTGTGTCCTTGCTTCCCCTCCTCCCCACCTCCGGGTGGTTGACTTGGCGGCGGTGTTAGACACGGCAATCGATGTGGCTCGTGCGCTGGCGCACCTCCATCGCGAGGGTATCATCCACGCGGATTTGAAGCCGGGAAATGTGCTGCTCAAGGGCTCCACAAGCGACCCGCGGGGCTTCGTGGCCAAGGTAAATGATTTCGGAGGGAGGAGGGGGTGGTGGTGGAGGAGGTGGGGGAGGAGGAGGGTTGGGTCGGACTTAGGGTTTGTTAATGTTCCGTTTTATTTTTACCGATTTGTCCGTACCTATGTCCTTATTTGCGTTTCGGATCGAGTTCCTCTTTGCGATGATGATATTGTGAAATTTTGGCCTTCCCTCGCCTCCACTCAATCACTCCTTTTCATAAAAATAACAAACTTTTGGCCTTTAACATCCTTAGTTGTTCAGGAACTAATCCGTGCACGGTGGCATTTGCACCCATGCCTTTAACAAGGCTGATAGCGCCAACTCTGAAAAACTTTGAACTTTTTAAAAACCGGTTTTCATATCCTAAAACTCACTGTCACTGGACGGGATAAAGATCACCGTCCGCCTGTGTCTGTCTGTCCGTCTGCCTGTCTGTCTGTCCGTCCCCACCAGGTTGCGGACTTTGGTTTGTCCATGCGATTGGAAAACAACGAGACCCACGTCAGTAACGCTTACCATGGGGTGAGTGTACGGCAAGGGGGGAGGAGGGGGGTTGGCTTTCAGAGCGTCGGAGTTTGACTTTACTAATAACCAATGGGATTTTTGGGGTTTGGGGTAAGTGTACGGCAGGGGGATGCGGGAATAACAATAAAGATGGGGATAATGTATACTCTCGCACTCTACAGAAAACCCTAAAACCCCAATCCACTCGAGCCACTCGAGCCACTCGAGCCGCCCTTCACCGCATTTTCTGTTATGTCTGGCATAACGCTCGATATCGTTATCAGCACGCGCCCGCAGCTGAGTTGTCGTACTCGAAAAACACATTAGGTCCACCCTGCTGCCCGTCTTTGCTCCCCCCTCCCCCCTCCCCCCTCTCTCTTATTTCGGATCCCCTGGAAAACCGACGGGGCGACCGACAAACATACAGACACTCGCTTACATGGCCCCCGAGACGTTGCTGCATGGGCACGTGTCCCGGGCAAGTGATGTGTACAGCTTTGGCATCCTGCTGTACGAGCTGTACACGGGTGACGTGGCATTCCGCAGCGTGCCCAAGGTACGGTATGGTTCAGTACGGTACGGTACGATAGTCTAGCTTCGTCCCAGACTTGTGCCAAAATAAAATATAATTTAAAAGACAGAGCCTAAACCCTTTTCCTTATCTCTCCTCCTTGTTTTCTTCTTCTTCTTCTTCTTCTTCTTCTTCTTCTTCTTCTATTTGCTCAATCCATATTCGTCTCTACAGCAGTGGGGCTCCTCCTCCACCTGTTTCTCCTCCTCAACATCCATCCCACAACCCCGCTTCTGTGCCGTACTGTGTCGTACTTTGGCCTCGTACTATTATACCGTCCTATTTTACATTCTCACTCACCTTCCCACGCTGACCCCGTCTCCTTCACTGAACGAAGTTTTACAAAGCCCGGTACTATGCCGTATTTTGTCGTACTGTCATACTATGTCGTAAACAGGCGCTGATTGGCCACGCCATAACCAAGGAGAACCTTCGGCCGGTATTTCCCCCCACGGGGCCCCTGGGGGCTCCCTTCGAGTACCAGCTGTTGGCGTGTCGGTGCTGGGAGAGTAATCCGGAGATCCGGTACGTGTGTGGGGGGGGAGGGAGAGGGGGGAAAGAAATGGGAAAGAGGGGGGGGAGAGAAGGGGGGAAGAGAAAGGGGGGAGAGAAGGGGGGGAGAGGACCGACCGACGGAATGACGGGTAGTTGCCTCCACGCCACAATTCCCCCCCTCCCCCCGCGTCCACCTTTCCCCCCTCCCCCACCCCTCACCCACCCCTCACCCCACACCTCACCCCACACCTCACATAAGGCCCGAGTTCGACTTCATCTTGGAGGACCTGAAGCGCATGCGTGTACGGCTGTGCGCCACCGTCCCCGATGGCGGCGGCGGCAGCATTGGAAATATGGGTCGATTGACGCCGGAGGCGGCTGGTGGCGGCGGTGGTGGCGGCCCAACTGGGTTTGGATTTCCCTCGGAGGCGGCGCCGGCAGTTGGTCGGTTGTGGGGGCTGTCGGCGGTCGTACATTCACGACAGGTAACCCTGGCAGGGCGAGTGGAGGAGGGGTGGAAAAGGGAAGGGAATAATAAATTTTAAAAAAGCCTTGCAGACGAGATGTGTACTACCTGGTCGCGTGTGTTTGTATGTTTGTATGTGTCTTGGGAGGGGGCACGTTAAAGGGGGGTTTAACAGGGTTTTACAGTTGTGGATCTCGTCCCGCATCTCGTCCAATACCTCGTCCCATGTGTCGTACCGTCCGTACATAGGGCCTCAATTACTTGGTCCAGACCAGCCAGGGCATCGGGGCTAAACCTTTCTTTCGAGAATGCGGCGGCGTGGGCGGCGTTGGCGAAGGTTCTTTGGAAAGCGATCGGAGCTTGTCGTACTCCAATTCTACGAGTATGTGCAGTACTGATGCAGTGCTGACTAGGCCCAGCCATAACGTCACCGGCGGCGCCGCCGCTACTGGCGCTAAAGACGGCGGCGGCGGCAGCGTCGGTCCCGGCGTCGTACAAGGCTTTGCTGGCGGCAGCGGGCTCCATGGAGATGTTCGTACAGCGCCGTACCCTGGGTGCCGGGACGCGCCGGCGCAGGATGAGGCGGCGGTGGATGAGGAGGAAGCGGCAGCGGTTGTCCGGTCGTTGTAATCGGTTAAGAGATATGAGCAACAAACCGCCAACTGTACGGTACGGAGGGTCCGATTTCAGGCGTTCTCAGATCCAGACGGGGGGGGAGGGTCGGGATCCCCCGGGGGGGGTGATGCCACTTCCCCCTTACCCGTTCCTAAGTGTTCCTTTGTTAGTTGGGTGGTTGTGGTGAAAGAATACAGGCCCTGCTGGGTTTTAACTGTTGGCTTTGACGGTTAGGGGTTGGTGGTTTGGTAGTTGGGACTTCGGTGTTTATGTGAATGCATGTGCGCTTCAGCTGCAGATGTACGTGGTTATTATCATTCATTATGGTGGTTGGATTTTACCGTTCTTTCCGTTGGGATTTTGTAGAACTTTCCTTTTAAGTGAGGAAGAGAATACCACGAAAGCACTTTTCTGGAAGGAACGCGCGAGTTTTGGAGAGCCGGGGGGGTTTTGAATTTCTCAAAAATTCTCAAACCGGCGCTTTTAATTTCCAAGCTTTGGGATACGCCAGGCGCACCGAAAACTGTATTTGTGTGTTTTTTCCTCTTTGCCACTTTTCATCAGATGAAGAGGATTGTTGACCTGAAATCTGATTGTATGGATTTCGCTGTCATTGCTGCCATCTTCTGCTGCTATCTGATCTCGTTTTGCTCCTTTCCGTCTTTCCCTTTCTCTCCCTTTCCCTTCCCCTCCTCTGGGTGAGGGGCGGTTGTGAGGAAGAAAGCTAAAACATTGGTGGCTGGCGGTGGCGGTGGTGGTTGGGTTTTTTGAAGCTGGGGAGGCGCCTTGTGTTGCACATACGCGTATATATTCTTTTTGAATCCAGTTATTATTTTTTGCGTTTGAAAGAAATCTGGTCTTACTTCAAAGCGAAGTGAGGGGCCCTATAGATCTGTGTATGTGCGCCTGTATGTACGCACGTATGTCTGCATGTACGCATGTATGCATGCGCTACTCTGTGTGTGTGTAAATATACGTACGCATGCACGAACTGGTTGCGAGGGACGAGCGTAGGTTTGCTTTTGCGTCCAAGCAAAAGTAGTTTGTACTACAAGGTAGTTTGTACTACAACGTATCTGATGTTATAATAGGAACAAACAATACCGTGGTTGTGTACGTGGTGGATGTTTACGGGGGCTTACGTCAGCGGGCGGTACGGCTGTGATTTGCTTTTGGTGGGGTCGATGGCCTTGGAGCAGCAGCAAGGCTGGTGGTGCAGCTGGTGCTGATACTGATACCGTTAGTTGTTTGTAGTACGCAGGTACAGGCGCTGGTCGTGTTCGTTAGTTGTTGGTTGTTGTCGCGGCGAAGGGTAGTTGGCGGTTACTCTACCCAGAGATTCGGGGAATAAGAGAACGCGTTGAGAGGGGCACGAATGGTGAGGTGATAAAGAGGAGGGGGGAGGAGGAGCAGCGCGCACTCGACGTATGCATACATGTACTTGCATATACTCGCACTAGACACATACATACATATATATGTACGTACCCCCTCAACGGTGATTAGGCTAGGGTAGGCTTAGCAGGGAAATGCCGTACACTGCTGTCGTACACTGTTTGTCGTCGTCGTGCACTTCCTCCTAAAAGAGACAAGTCGGGGCGGCTCCTAACCCTTATGTGGTATCTGGTTGGTAAACTGAAACCCACAAAAACACTGCCACCCAACCCACCGCACAAAACCCACAATGCTTGAATTTGGGGTTTGGGGGGAGGGGGGAGTTTGGGGTTATTGGAGGGGTTGTGGAAGGGGGGAGACGGCCTCCGACAGGTTACCTGGTTGCGGAGGTGACGTGATGGTGGCAGTGGTGGTGATGGTGGCAGTGGTGGTGGTGCTGCTGCGAGATGATCGTGATGGTGGTGATCGTGGTGGTGGTGATTGTGACGGTGGTTGGCGCCACAACCTAATAACAACTACAGGGATATTTCTTTTTGCGCTTCTGAGGCTCCCCTCCCCCCTCCTTCCCCCCACGAACCCCCGTTTTGTGCGGGGGCCGGGGCCCGGGATGTTGGCTGGCATTACACATCCTCAAAAGCGAGGAGGAGGAAGCAAGGAAGGGAAGAAACCACCCGGGGGGGCAGCGTGTCGACCCATACACATACCCGAACGCACGCACATATGCAATACACACAAAAACATTTTGCACAGATCATGGATGCGCGCATCAGACCCCGTGAAGGAAGCAGTACAGCAAAAGCTTCATTGCAATTTTTTTTAACCCTAAACCCTAAAACCCTTACTAGAAGGGACCGGTCGCTCTGCGGCGAGTCGTTGGCAAAGAGGTGGGCCGTGGTGTGGTGTGGTGTGGGTGTGGTGTGGGTAAGACAAACATGGGATGTTAACGAGGTGACGAAACGACGTGTGGTGGTAGTAACAGTGGGAGTAATAATAGTACTATTCCGGCTAAGAGTGGTAGCGACGCAAGAGATGTGGGTATGATCCTTTTGCGCTTGGTCTTGATTCGGATTTGCATATCATTACGTCAATATGGCAGAATATGTGCAAAACTGTATAGGCCGCGTCCTTCGAATACAATGTTGGTTCGTCGTTCTGTCGAATCTCGGGAGGTCGTGATTCCGTTGATGCTCTGCGGGTGCTGCTGACTACTGCTGCTGGTGGTGAAGATCTTGCTGCTGCTACTGCTGCTTCTGCTGATGGTGCTCTGACGTCACTTTAACCGTTTTTGCGGCCTCTGCTTCGGGTTATGCTACTTCCGCTGCTATTTATAAGAAAATTATAGTCACTTCAGTCTTCGTGTACCATACATACAGTGCTTTACCCCACCAAACATGAAAATCGGACTTTCAAGGGCATGTGTCAATTGGCTGAGTTGCATTTAAAAAAATACACATCGGAAGGGTAAGAAAAAGTAGACCCTAGATTCCATTCTGGAAACTTTAGCTGATATGTTTATGTATGTTGTTACAGGGTGGTTAAGCTTCACCAGCGGCCCCCTTTCCCTTGGGAGGCAGTTCCCTGCTCTCCCCTGCGAGAGGGGCACCCAAATCCATGCACCCCATCCGACATCAGAATGTATTCGTTGGGTTCGGCAACTCATTACCACCAGCATCCAACCAAATCTATCGGATCAACGGCGCCTCAACTTAGTTCGTGATCAGCGTGTGTGCCTGCGTGTTCCAAATCGGGTTTGAGCACGAGATCTGAATTCTGCTGGTCATCCTGCTATGTTGATTTGATGTTACGAAAGTCAAAGCCTTTGAAGCGGGGGGGGGGACGAGGGGGAGGAGGTCTTCAAGCGAAAACAGGGGAGAGCGAACCCAAGGATAAAATCATTGCAGTGACGATTTACAATATCTTGCATCTAGAGTGCAGGCCTGCTTCACATGCCCCGCAACAATTGCGATCACTGCACTTGATTGAAGTCAACATGAGCGTCAAAACATCACACCTTCGGCATTATGACATCGGAGAGTTATGACATCCGAAATAATGATTTATCTTATAACCTCCATCTGAAAAATCTTATCTTGTCGCGCACGCCTTTGACTACTATTTAAATTATCCTGCTCAACAAACCTCAAGCAATGGGTTCGCTACCAACACGGAAGCGCACAACAATCGGTATCAACTGTGTCAAGTCACGGGCGGCTTAACCGTCTGCTGCGAGGGAACCGCTTCGCACCGGGTTCAGGTTCTGCTTCCCGTACAAACCGTCGCGCCGCCGCCGCTTGTAAGCGTTCTTCCGTTGCGCTGCCAACGTGAACGTACCGTCGCGCGGCGGCAGCGGCGGCTTCACCCGGCCTCGGCTCCTCCTCCAAGTACGGACCGCCCCCAGGACTCGATCCAACACGGCCCAGCCCTATCGCTAACCCTGCCTTTTCGTCATTCACAGGAGGCGCGTACGGCGTGTACGGCATGTATCGCTCTGGGCTGCTGTACACTCCATCGTAAAATTGCCGCCGGTGGGTTTGCGGGTGCAGCCGATGGCTTCGCGGGTATGGCGGCGGTCCCTCCAGTCCAAGCACTTCTGCCAGTCCCAGTTCGTACGCGGTTTCAATAATCCACAAGATCCGCTCCGTACCGGCAGGATCCACGGACTCCGAAGACCGATCTGGATCTTCTCGTTGGCGGCGCTCTTTTCGTTCGTTGCCGCCGCCGCCGCTGTCCATGTGCCGCACATCTGGCCCCTCGCTTCGCACCGCCGCCAGCTGGGGCGGCGGCGGCGGCGGCGGCGGCAGAAGCGAACCAGAGTGTGAAGCCTTCGGCGGGGATCGCAACGGAGGTTTCGCATCTCCTCCCTCGTCCGGAACCGCCGCAGCCGCCGCCGCCGCAGCCGTCGCTGCAGCCGCCGCCGCGGCGTCTGCGGTCTTCGCGGCCCGAGCCTCCGCTGCTGCCAGCATGCGCCGCCGAATGAGGCCCAACACCTCCTACGACAGGTATGACAGTATTTGTGTCGTTTCGGAGCTGTGGAGCTACAGATTCAAAAACACACCGGCAGCACCGCTGATTTCTGGCCAGATGCATTGCCACGTCATCCATTCGTTCATCCGTTAATAACCAGTACGGTATGTGTAAACACATCCAACGAACGAACGAACCAACCAACCATATCAGTCACATAAACAGGTCTACACACATATTACGAGAGAAAAACAAAAACATGTAAAACCCTAAGTTAAAAATTTTGTGGCAAAGGCAAAAAAGAAATTTTACCAAGACGCCGTTCCAAAGCCCTATTTGATCCCACTATCAATCCGTTAGGCTTGCCTAACTGGGACCTCAAGACCTGAATTTGTCTGTCCTAAGCCTGTTTTAAACCTTCAACCGCGGGGGCACCGTTGTTAGTTATTAGTTACACTACCTGGGTCGGTTTAACGTGATCATAATACGTTGAAACACGGTAATGTGGCGGCGTCTTCACAAATTCTCCGGGAGTGCTTCGTCGCCTCAAATCTGTTGGTTAGTCGGTTAGTCGGTTAATCAGTTAATCAGTTAATCGTAGACAACATGGATAACTTTACAGGTCAGCTTTGAAAATAACAACGGACATATATACTGGTACACACGCAACATACAGCGTACGTATAATGCCTCTTGGTATACGCCCACAAATACGCGTTTACTACATACATACATACGGTCGCCCAGGTCCTGGTAGCGAGCTCTCTGAGATGCTCGGTTCGTTTGGTCGGCAGGAAGAGCCCCCCAGTTGCGACTTTGTTTATGTTAGGAGACCAGCGGGCATAGATCCCGTCTAGTTGGAGCGCGAAACGAGCGCTGTTGCGTGCCGGCCGTCGTTTCCCGTGCGGCCTGACCCGGGGGCGGAGTGCATGAGACTAACCAGCCGTATGCACCCGCCCCTCGCGCTGTGCTTCGGCCCTGGGCCCCCGGCGTTTCAGCCCACAGTGTAATCAACGTCATACATACATGTATACATACATACATATATACATACATACATACATACATACATACATACATACATACATACATATATACATACATACATATATACATACATATATACATACATACATATATACATACATACATATATACATACATACATGATGATACAAATGATGACGTCACCACTCACCTCTCCGCAATCGATCCTCGAACGGATGGAGAACATCGCCACCTTCACCTTCACCACCACCACCACCACCACCACCACCACCACCACGACGAACATAAAACTCGCCAGCGCCGCTGCCCGCCCGCCGCTCCCCAACTTCTTCTTCAGCCGCCCCCGCCGCCGGATCCGGTTTTGATCCAGATCGCGACGTCGACCTTAATTCGCGTTGTTGGAATCCGGATCTAGTTTTGGATCTGGATTTGGATTCGGTTTGCACTGTTATTTGATCCAGACCTTCCTGGGATTTCGGTCGGACAGCGCCGCCAGTGACCGGGTTCACATGGCGATGCCGGCTGGGGTGGCGGTCGGAGAGAGAAGAAGGGTTGTTGATGTTCGTAAGGTCGCTGGCCCCTGGGGGCCTTCGCACGTCTGGAGGAGAGGGGGCCGGGGGGCGAGATGTGTTTAGTTGGTTGGTGAAGTAGTTGGCTGGTTGGTAAGTGGGTTAGGTGACGACAGCATCAGGCAGTTAAGAGTTGTGAGAGCGGTCGTGTGTGGGGGGGAGGGGAAGTTGGGGGTTCTTACCCTTAAAGGGGAACTTTTGTGAGGGTTGTTGGTCACCGCAAAACATTTCGTTAGCACCACAACCACCGCAACCACCACAACCGCCACCATAAGCAGCACCACCACACTCTCACTTTCACGCGCTCGATTCCCCATCAGGATTTCTCCCATCCTTCCAACTCGCAACCACCTCCCCCACCTGCTGCTGCTGTTGTTGCTGTGGTTGCTGCTCGACTCGCAGCCATCCCCGCAGACCGTGAAGTGGATCGGCGTGGCACCACCGGCACTTCCTCCTGTATGTTTGTCAGTCTCGGCCCCACCGGCGGGCGACGTACACCACCATTGGATGCAGGTTGCCGCATCTCCCGTAGCTGATCCAGCTCGCCTGGGCAGTAGTACGACACGTCGTACACGTAACCTTGGAGCTCTCGCATGATTCTGGTGACAGATTTGTGCATGTGCGAGGGAATGTGTGAGAGGAAGAAAAATTAGGACGAAGGAAAGCGTGAGAAGGTGCAAATATTCCTTGTTCCCACGCACGTGCCTGCTTGTGAGGGTTCTCGTGCGTGACATAATAGCTCGTACAGTTCTATAAGGAACCGCTGACTGTCAACCGCTAACCGCCAATGCCCTCTGTGACAACAACTGTCAGCTGGCAGCAACAGAGACAGGAACCTGAAGTTGATTTTTGCGCTTACTTGTGAGCTGTGTTGAAGATTTGCGCCCGCTTAGCGCGAGATGTGAGAAAGGGCGAGGTGCGCAGGTTGAGGTCGATTGCTCCCGGTGACATGCCATGCATGTTCTTGTTAAAGGTTCGATCAAGAGCCATCAACGCTAGGCCGTACGTGTCTTCCGGTAGGTTGACCACCTGCATACATGTACCACAAAATTCTTCTGTAACCATGCCGTTTCTTTCCGATGAATACTTTTCATAGACAGCTATTTGGTATGTAGTTGTAAATAAATCGGAGTTTCTCTTAGAAAAGTGGCTCTTCAAAATGGTCACCATTTTATGGTGCGGGAAAGCTGTTTCGGAGCGCGGTCGAGACAACAAGAACGAACCGTATGACGAAACAAGACAACGATCTTCTCCAATCCCTTGTTTTTTCTATCTTGTATTACAATTTACCTGCCCGACATAGGCCGCGTAGGCGTCCGCGATGCTCCGTCTCAGGCCCTTCCGAACCAGATGGTGCCCTCCGAACAACACGCTGTAGCGACCTGCGACCTGCACCAAATCACAGCCCAGGAGCGATGAGCGATTTGGGATACGGTGGTTTGATATGGTGGTTAGATGATAGAGAGTTGGATTTGGGGTTTGAGAGTGAGCGCTTATGTCAGAGGAGCTGCCAGGGCCCCGTGCCATCCAGAACGCCGTTTGGTACATAGACGCGGAGATTGCCTCAACGATTCGATCTTTATGTCGCTCTGCTCTAAGCTGTTGCCGCATTCGCGTCGTTGTCGCCCGCCAACCGGTCTGGCATCCGTTTGGGAGGGTCAGTTTTTTGCAATTGGTCTGTCTTAATAATAGCCAAGCACGTGTTGTGGCAGTTTTGGGCGCTGAAACGATTCCGCAGGAGAAATGGGAATGCCAGGGGGTCGCATGGTGGTGAGCGGGTTGGGAGGAGTTTGCGGAAGGATGCGTGTGCGTGAGGGCTGGTTCGCAAGAATCTACACCGTCGTATGCTGTTGTACCTCGTCCAGTGCTCCAGAGGCCTTATCCTGTCGCAACCTGCTCTGCGCGCCTGCCAACTGGCTACGTGTGGGCCTGTCGTACGGGTCTCGGAGGCCGGCAACGCCGCCCCTTCCATCGCCTGCGGGGTCCACAGAGCTGGGGACAGCGGCCGGCAGCGGCTTCCCATCGTGGCTATCGTACAGTCCGCCGCGGGTCCCCCGGCCATGTTCAGGGCTGAGCTCAGGGTGGGATGACCTCTTCTTGCGAACATCGCCCACGGGGCTAGGCTGCCGATGCTGCTGGGAAGGCGGGACAGGCATACTGGGGTCGCACTGGCAAGGAGCTCAGGGATAGATCGAGCTGGAAGATTGGCCAATTCAAGAGGAAAATTAATGAGTTCTCAAGCACTGCAATCCGGCTCCCGCGACTGTTTCTTCTCAGGTTTGCACATGGCGATGTGTGTTTCTAGTGGTGCTGCTGGCCTTAGTCGCTTTAGCCATAAACCAATGGAGTTTGCGAGGAAAAACGTATTGATACCAAAAATAAAGAGCATACCGAAGAAAGCTTAAGATGCTTTTGCAATTCTTGGGAGTGCACCCACTTGCGGAATGGGAAAAGCAGGCAGCCTACTTAGCGTAAGTTCACATGATTGCCAAGCCCAGAGATAATTTGGGATTATTGTCCACTATGGATTGAAAATGCCAGTTGCACTCCACCTTGGTTTCGCAACTGTGGGCGTTGGTAACCGCTGAAGGCCTGCACAACCACACCATTCAGACACGTTTCTGCTATCCAAATGAATTCTAAAGAGCCTTTCTTATCACATTTATCTTGCATGGAGTACTGGGGACTAGAAAAAACAGGATGGCTGTACGTTGGCTTTTGCATCTTCTAAGATTTTCTAACATCAAAAGCAAAGGAATTAGGTATGGTATTAGCCTTCAAGAAGTTTTTAACAAAGTTTTAGGATGCTGTATACTCCAAATTCCGATTGGAACTTTCAAATTTCGCCAGTTGATGGAGACAGATGGACCTGCGCTTTCTCTTATACCTGCACCTCTCTTATAAAGCACGCATTCTTCCAGCTGAGGACGCAGTACATGAAGATTGCCAGCAAATATGGACAGCGACGTCTCAGCTGTTTTTTTCGCAGCTTAACCCTAACACTTGAAAAATGAGACGAAGAATTCCCATGAAATCCAGACATTAACACAAGCCATACCGTTTTAATACAGTTCAAGAATTTAGACCCCAAACCTGAGCAAAACTCTGGGGCTAGTCTGGGGCTAGTATTACAGTTGCTTCCGCACCCCAGCGACTACGCCGGCAATCTCGCTCCTGGCCGCACCATCGTCACCCGCCAGCGTTGTTGTCCAGATCGCCGGCGTTGACAGCTTCTTCGTTGTCGCTGGTGGTGTTGAACCTCATACGCTTTGATGCTGGGGCGAGCTGTGCTGGCGGCGGCAGCCGTGGTCGCGGTTCTTGTTTCACTGGCTGTTGTTTCGGGAAACAGCACTTCCGCCGCTGCCAACGCCAGCGGCGGCCGAAAGCTGCGCGGCCCGCTTAAGGGAGGCGGAAGGGGCGGCCGCGAGGCTCCTTCCTGCAGACGGCCGACTCCTCTGGATCCTAAGACTGTTTATAATTTGGGTTGTCGGCGGTTCAAATGGGTGCGTTCAATTTTTAAATTTTCGATCCATTGAGCGATGCCGGCCACCGCTCTTCTACTAAAGCCCCCCAGCCGTCGGCCACAGTTATGAACTCAAAACCCAAAGCGTTGCCAACTTTCCTCTCCTTCTCGTTCCGCTTTTCGCGCTCCCCCCTTCGGCCCCATCCCATCCCACACGAACACAGATGTGCATAGACCAGCAGCAGTTCATTTCATACGACCCGCGGTACGATCCCGCGAGGAGTACGGAAAGACTGCCGTACTTTGACGTCACCGATATTGTCTACAACTGGCCCAATCCTTGGGGTGAGTCCTGTGCAAAGTGGGTGGGGAAGGAGGCCGCATTGGCAGCAGAGGAGGAAGGGAGGAGAACAATTAAACAAAAGGAGAAAAGCAAAAGTATGAAAAACGTACCATGAACATATCGCTTTTTCATCAGGAAGAAAAGAACAAACTAACAATAGAAAGGTAACAAGGAAGAAGGCCTCGAAAAAATCCCAAGACAAGAAAAGGTCCCCAATTTGCAGCAACTCCGAGCAGCTCGACAAAGAGAAAACCTTCTTAATAACCGCCGAATAACCGCCGAATAACCGCCGAATAACCGCAGGCAACGGCGACAAGTTCCTGCGCGGTCGCGGTCTACCGGTACCGCCAGTCGAAATTCGAGCCAACAGCAGTCAGGAGCCAAGTCCCGATCTGCAACATCCGCGATTCAACAGCTGCGTGTTCCCGCTCGTTTTATGGCAGAGGTGGGAGAGGTCCGAAAGTGGGGAGAAAAAGGAAAGTGGGGAAACAGAGGACTGTTCGGCTGATTATGTTTCGTTGGCGTTGGCATACCTTCCCCCAGTGGAAGATGTTGATTACCACCCGTTAGTTCCTAATGCGTGGTGTTGGAATTTGCCATTGTGGGGAAACCCTGTTCTTCCAGAAAAAAAATTGAATGTCCAGTTAGATAACATCCGCCCGGGACTAGAATTTCGTCATCAAGCCCTCCTGGGCTGTAAAGCATTGCATACGTTGGGAGATATTCTTTGCGCGCGAGAGGCCTTGGATGGAGTTATGAATGCAACGGACCAAGCAGGCCTAGCAATACGCAAGGCTTGGCATCAAATAGTGGATAAATACCTCCAACCGCAAACCCCACTAGCTAAATCCCTGTGCACCTATCGTAAATGGCAGGAATGTATGGATGCTATTGCCGCTCTTCTAGATGATATTCCAGCGAATTGGAGACAGGCGGCTAGTCTTTTGTTGCCGCTGAGTGTAGAATCTAGGGAAGCGATGGTGCCCCCTATTGAGTCGGTTACTCAAACCCTAGTGTCGAGGCTTGGTTGGAGATGGGGTGTAGGGCCTCCAATCCGATTCCAACATTTATCCGTTAAAATAGCGACTAATATGCAACTTTCACCTTTTTCGATGGCTCGCCGTGTGGCCCATACCCTTTTCATCAAAGAGGCGACGGGTTCTTCTGAGATATTGGATGAAACTATTCTTCTTTTGCAACGGACATTCCATCGTTTATGGTTTCAATTTACGGTGGGAAAATGAACAAAAAGAGATTTGGTGGCGTCTTGCGGTTGATGGGGTGCCTATGTTAGGAAATTCCCATCTTAGGATGTCGCGCCCAACGATATGTGGTTGTGGAGGTTATCCAATAGGTTCAGTGGGAGGTGTATCCCCTCGCTATCATCATTTCTGGGCCTGTCCGGTGGCACAGGCAATAGCAGATCAACTTACTCTTTCAATAGGATTGCCAGTCTCAAGGGAGCAACTTTGGCTTATCCAAGCCCCACAATCAGTGCAACAATGTGTTTGGGATGTTGTGGCTCTTGCTGCGGTGTCAGCCATGGAGCATGGGAGACGTTACATGGCTGCAAACATGAAAACCAACCCGGCACTGTTACCTGGTCCTTCCCTTACGGAAGAAGCAATTTGTCGAGTTATTGTTGATTTTTGGGGCCGCATTCAGGGTTTCGCAGCTTTAGGAATTCCACGAAAAGGTTGGGAATCCGTTGGCGCACATCACCCCTTTTTGAGGATTATATCTGGCAAATTGATTTGTTCGCGAGAGCGGTTACCGATGAGAGGTTAATTATCTGAGATGATAATCTTTTGGTATATTAGTCTCTACTGCAGTGCACGGCCAGCTGGCCCGATGGCTCTACTCTTCGGGAGTCTGGAGCCCACTGTAACAACCACACACATGTTTCGTGGGAGGAAGCCGACAGAAGAGATCTCTGCAGCCCAGAGCAGCTCATCATCATCACCATCATAATCATAATCATAATCATAACTAACATCATAATCACTAGCAGCACCATCATCATAATCATAATCATAATCATAATCATAATCATAATCATCATCATCATAATTATTAACAACACTATCACCAGCATTACCAGCATTACGTTCATCACCACCATCAACAACAATATTCCTCTCACCATCATCTTGTCACCATCATCAACGTCACCATCACTATCGTCATCTTACCAACGTCGGCCCTCCAATGGGGGGAAATGGCGCAACCGACCCAGATGGATGTTTAACGTAGGCGAGGTGTTCGAGGCGTCGTACGTACGGCTGTACGACGAGTTTATGGCAGGTCGTGTCGACCCGCGCATGACGCTGGTGATGGCTACCCCCCACGGGTTGCGACTGCCACCTTTCGTGTCCCTCTTCTTTAACGCCCTTTTTGAGCCCCAGGTGCGGACCGGAGTATTCCAGTAGTGGAATGGAGTGGATGTGGAGTGGAGTGGCTGAAAACGTCCCACTAGGGGTGTAGGGGGACTCAAAATCGGTTGACCATGAGCGTACGGGGACTGAAAAACGCACCAATTAGAATTCTAGAGGATATGTATGCACCTGCACCACGGCCTTTAAATCTAAATACAAAAGATACAAAGTAGATACAAAGAACACCCCAAAACGTAGAATTCATTATTGTTTGCTAATATAGTATTGCTAAGATACAATCACTAAAAAATAATCTATTAGCAAACAATAATGATCTACACATACAAACCACATACAGTCGAACGAGTCTTGTAGACTATATCTTGATGTATATATTTATCGCCGTGGAGGGATTCCACAGCCTACACAACCATAAAAGTACTTCTTGTTGTAATAATAAGCTCTTGACCTGAAGACCGTCGACTGGGGTGGTGATTGGGGACCGTTGGCAGTTGACCGTTGGCTGGGGCTGTTGCGGTCCGCAACTCATCAGGCTGTTGTGGCATGCCCTCTGATTTCCATTTCCATCATCGAACCCAAATCGGGATCCAAATCCGGATCCAGCAGCATCGAAACTAAAATCCAAAACAAAAAACAAATGCTGATGCTGTTCCGTGAAAATGGCACAGACACGCACACCTCACACGTATTCACACTCTCACATACATACATACATACATACATATACACACACACGCTCTCTCACAGACACTCACCTACGCACACTCTCTTACAGACATACATACACACACACGGATGGCCGGGATGCCATTCCTGCCTTCACATTCCTCCTCCGTACCTTTTAGCAGCTACATCCCAACAAGCCGTAACCCCACCCCCGAGACGAGTCCCGCCCCACCCCACATACCCGTATAACCCCCACCCCACCCGCCGTACATATTACACACGCATACATACATACACACATACAAACAGCACAGGTGACCACTCTGGCGGATTTATCACGCCGGCCTGTCGGCTGCCCTTCCTCGTCCGGCTGCTCCTCGTCCTCTTCTCAAGCTATAAAGGTTGGCAGCAATGACATCACCACCAGCAACAGCAGTTCCACCACCAGCTCCACCACCAGCTACAGCAGCAGCAGCCGTTCCCTGCAGTCGCCTCCTCGCAGCACTTCCCCCCCTGCGGGGGAGGAATACCCGGTGCGGTAAGCTAAGCTCGTTTGGGAACCTATTTTCGTTGTGTGTGTGTGTGTGTGGCGGGGGGTAGGAGGGAAAGAGCGAGGTAGAGAGGGAGGGAAGCGATGGAGGGAGGGCAAAAGGGGGAAAAGGTATTTTGGTGCGAGGGCAGGGAAGCGAGAGGGGCCGCCCCCACAGTCCCCTCCTGATCGACCGAGGGCGCGTGACCCACCCGGTGTCCATCTACCTCACATGTGTGTGTATGTATGTGTGTGTGTGTGCGCACCAACCGCGCGCCTTCAAAAAGGAGCTCTCTTGTGGAATGAAGTTCTTGGAATGAACTCAAAAATATTTTATTCTTCTTTTAAAATAATCAAAGATATTTCTAATAATCTGTCTTGCAAAATCTGTCAAATGCAGGTGCTTTGAAAAGCTCTACATGTGCAAGGTAAAAAACCGAAAGGTGAATGCCGGGTGTTTGATGAAGATGTATGTATGCATGTATGTATGCATTAAAATGATAATAACAATAATAATAGTAGTAATATGTCAATGAAAGCCCTAATAACCCTGAGTGTGTGTGTGTGTTTTACAGGACAGCGGTGGCGGCCACTGCGCCGCAGGCACCCACCTTCTGCACCACTATCACTCCCGGGGTCAGCTGCCCCTGGTCACCGACTTGTTCGACGCGGAGGGCGCAGACCGGGACACGCTCAAGGTATAGTGTCGTACTATCTGGTACGGACAAGGCCGTGCAGTATCCTAATACGGGATTCTCTATCGGCGCTGTGAGGGGAGGCGTCGTGTGCACCTACAGCGACCCCCCCCCGCCAGCGCTGTTTACTGTTTACGCACCTACCTGTCCCCATCAGTCCGCGACAGCCCCCGACAGTGCGCCCTCCAGTCGGTCCAGGTCGGCCCCAGGGTGATGTGATGTGATGTGATGTGTGGTGCGATGTGCGTTATGGGATATGGTTGCTCCTCCACTATTATTAGCCCATTCGTAAGGATATTTCACGCACTGAGTGTGTGTGGGGGGGGGAGTCACGCTACAGGTGGTACTTGCTTCGCGACCCAACGCCACGGGCCGAGCCATCCTGAACGAGGATGAGCTGTTGTACGAATGCAACCGCCTTGATCTGGATCTGAATTTGGATCTAGGTAGTGGGTTGGAGACGGAGACGAACGCAGAGGTGGAATCGAGACGGGCGACGGCGGCAGCAGCAGCAGCAGGGCCACTTTCTTCCCGCAATCGATGGAGACGGCGCGTCAAATGCGTCGTGCATGTGTTTGGACGCGACCTGCTGTACGACCTGGCGCTTGCAAAGGTACGACGGTACGGCATGTTCGTATTATGCATGCAGGTTTGTATGTGCCGCACCGCGGCGGCTGCTGACGGTCATCTTCGCAAATCGACCATGATCCAGGTCCGTAAAAACATCATCGTTATTATTATTATTATTACTATTATTATTAATTATTTAATATTTAATTCTCTGTACAGCTTGGCTTGGTACCTAAGCTGCAAAAAGATGACTCATCTTCCCCGTGTGTTCGTTGACGGGGAGCCGCCTGCCTCTCGTTGGTTCTGGCGATGATGATGTCGTACATGTCGTTTGCTTTAGGTAACTGACGTACTTGTAGCTACCCACGGCGCCGCCGGGTACCACTCCTTCTACATGTCAGCCGGCTCGTCGCTTGTGGAGGTGATGCCGTACAAATTCCCGGCCCAATGGGCCAACCAATACTACGCAAAAATGCTGGAGTACGAAAAAAAGGTAATGTGACACACGTTGGTGTATACGACGTTGTGGCTGGCCGCTCGAGTTCGTTGACTGGTTGGTTGGTCGTTTTAACGGATGGTTGGTTAAATAACGTCTCCTGGATCTCCTGAATAGGAGTGACAGACGGACAGAAAGACAGACAGATAAACACAACTGCACATTGTGATGCAATGCAATGCCGCTTTCACTGTCCCTGTCCCAGCTATATTTGCATTGCTTGCTTTTCCATATTCCCCTCTTGACACGTACGACACGCGTGGCGGGTGAATGTTCAGCAAGTATAATTTTCGGAAAATCATACCACTGACTCGTTATTTACGTTCCTTATTATAATAATTCCCAGCTTTCCTCCTCTGTTAAATGTAATATATGGAGCTTACCGAGTTTGAACCGGTGGCCTCACGCATGCAAAGCGCGCGCTCTACCACTGAGCTAAAGCCCCACTCCTCATCTGAGTCGATGTTGTAAAGTTCACCCACCCTCTTAAACATTCAAAGCATAGCATGGGCACGCGTGCAGAGTGTGCCCATGCTATGCTTTGGAGCTTTCCGGGATCGATCCGTCTGCCGTCTGCCATTTCCCCTGCCCCTGCCGCTACCCGCAATATGCCCCTGCTACTGCTGCTTCTGCTACTGCTGCTACTGCTGCTGCTGCGCAAAGGTGTTTTATTGGTCCATCTGGGTCACTCAGGCCGCCAACTCGCTCCCCTCCGATTTCGAGGACTCTGCGGTGTTTCGAAATGAGTTCCTGCACCGGGAGCGGCATGTGAGGTTGCCCTGGGGGGCGCTCAGGCGGCACCTCATCTCCATAGCGCAGGTGCGGGGTGTGGGATGGTGGCGTGACCAACTCTGGCTGGGAGGAGGCCGAGGTGGGCGGACGAGGGTGGCGGAGATGGAGGGCTTGGTGTGCGTGCGTGTGTGTGTGTGTGTGTGTGTCGTCTCGTCTCGTCTCGTCTCGTCTCGTCTCGTCTCGTCTCGTCTCGTCTCGTGTCCCGGCCATCGCTTCTGCATCGTCGCCAGTCTGTACCGCCGTCAAGAGCTCAACCCACATAAAACCACCTCCCTCCGCCCTCCCGAAATCCGCTTTCGGTAATTCCTGCCCTTCCTGCTGGTTCCTGTACGGGGTGTACGGAGTGTACGGTGCTCGTCCACCAGGTGTCCGGCAGGCCGATGTCGTACAAGGATGTGTACATCGCGGGCAAACACTCCATCAGCGATACCTTGAAGTTAGTGCCGAGTGTTCCGGACACGGAGGGAAAGGGCTGGCTGTCGTACACAGGCCCGACGTCGTGACAAACGGTGCCGTACGAAACATACTTTACGGCTCAGTCGCAGCGTCGTACCGTACGGTTGAGGGCTTGCACGCGGGTCCGGTGCGTGGTGTGGTGCTAGCAAAGCAAGACCATGGCATGGACCGCTTGTGGAGGCCTGTTAACTGGCTCGGGAGCGCAGGAAAACAAAGGCCGAGAATCCGTTGTACGGCATGGCCGACGACGTGGTTGCGGATGTGGATCCTGACGTGGATGATTGAACAGCGGGAACTGGCGGTGGTGCATTCGCCGCTTCTGGAAGCTGGAGGGGAAAGGAAAGGGAAGGTGCGTTGTGTGCTTGGGCGTATAGCTTGGCGATACATACATATACACATACACACATACATACATGTATCCTCTACCTGACTCATCGGAGTTTATGTGCTGGGGGGATATGTAGAACGGCGTCCCCAATGAAACGTATTATATACACATACCGACATACCGACAGACACAGACAGAGACATGTATACAAGTCCTAGTCTCCTGCAATCCCGAGGGAAAATAATGATGGCGGGTGATGAGTGGCAGCGTGACCTCGAGCCATCCCGAAAAGGTCATCGTCACCACCCGGAGGATTAGTTTGGTCTTACTATTTCCCGGATGACGAATGCAGTACTGAGAACGTAATACCGAGCCGGTGTTACGTATGCCAGGTATTGCCGACAATCAATTTGTATGATGTATATTTATTAATTGGGAGATCGCGAAATAGGACTGGAACGCGATCGAGGTGACAAGGGGGCTACACACGTACCCTTGGTGGGTATGGAACGGGATTCGACGTCCGGGATACATCAAAGCTCTGCCATGAGGTGTTGTTGCTTTGTGTTTGCTCAGCCAACAGCCAACAGCCAACAGCCAACGGCGGTCCAACAGCTGTATCTGTCCTCTCAATTGCTGCACGGTGGTGCTCATGGCGGGGTTAGGTGGGGGGGGAGCTCAGGAAGGGCACACGAGCGGTGAACAGCAGTTGCTGCTGGGGGGGCTACTGGCACTGTGTGTCGTGAGCAAACCATTAACTCTCACTTGTTCACTCTGGGCGGAAGCTGAGCGATTTTCCTGATTGCGGTTACTTCCTGCGTGTATCGTGGTAAGATAACAGTGTGGTGTGATGCATCTTCCTCTGGTCCGATGTAGATTTTTGGGACACAAAACTTCAAAGTTAGTTATGTGCCTAGCTGAGGGTTGATGTGCTTGCAGATAGAGGTGGACATCAGTTATATCAGTTTTTTCTGTGTGTTATCAATCGTACATAAATCGAGCTAAAGTGTGTGACATAATAATACATTTAATGCATATAGTCCTCCGATACCGAGACTTTTGATAGTTCAAGACCTTGTGCAATAAAAATTTTCTAATTTGGTTGATCGAATCTTCCGGCCGCTTTTTCATGCGGGCTGGTCTTCAGTCGTTCAGGGTTTCAACACAAAAAGACCGTTTCTCTTATTTGCAAGCAAATGTGAGCCTTTCCTCGCTGCCTAGTTCGCCGTCTTCGCTTGCCAACAACTGAAAGAGGGCGCCGTCGCCACCGGCACGTAACCAAACGTACTTATAAGGGCCTTATAAACGCAGCACCGTAAAAACCTCACCAAACATCAGCACAACACACATTCATCAGTGCGACCCACGCTCAGTTCGCGTGGGGGTGTTCGTGTCCAACCGGAGGTGTATGTATGACACCCGCCGCGGGAGGTGTACGTACGTATGTATATATGTCTGCGTATATGTTGTATGTACTGCGATGCAATATCGGCCAACAGGGCAAAAATATGCAAATACACTACTACTACTACACACGAGCCCATAAGCCAATGCGTCAGCCGCCAGTCCCTTATCGTGACCAATCGACTTATATAACCCCCGGGGCCAACCGCAACAACCAACCAAACAGTTAACAGGAACAGCAAAAACGGGGCCTCTGTGTTTTGCGACTTCTACACGGAATCTATCCATCTATCTATTTACCTATCTATCTACTACAGAATGTGTACTTGCTTTCCCAGAACCAAAAAAACGGGATCCAGCCGTCAGTCGCATTCTCCGTCGTTATTCTTCACACAGGAGAACAGGAAGTTAAAAAGACAACATGGGAATTGTGAGATTTAGGAACTGCGCGAATTGCCCTTCGACGATGGAGAGAAAACAATCGAACTAGCTAGCGAGAGCTGTTTGCATCTGCAGGTCGTGCAGGTGAGGGCTGTTGTTGCTGCTGTTGTTGTTGTTGTTGTTGTTGAGGGCGAGTTCCGAATGCACTGAGTGTCATCAAATGCATCACCATAGCGCCGCCGCCCTGCCGCCAGCCAACTTCCAGCCTCCGTACTGCCAGCCTGCCGCACACACGCAAATCCGATATACCCTAACCTCCCCTCACTGTCACACGTCTTTCCCCCCCCCACCCCAAAGTAGTCGCCTTACTCGGGATTGTAAATCATCGCGGATTGCGACCTAGATGCTGAATCAGCAGCCCGCTGATCAACCCGCTTACATCTCTCCTCCTCCACTCCCTCTGCGGTCTACTTCGCAACGCTACGCCGCCACTACAGCTACATCACAAAGCCACACCACTCCACAGTGATAGCACAGTTACCCCACACGCAGCAACACCGACACCGACGACACCGACACCGCACCGACACCACGATGGTGCCGTCCAGAAACCTCACACCTCTCTCGACACAGTCCAGTCGTGCATCACCCCTGGCAATGAGATTTGGGTCTTCATGAGCCTATCCATCATCACACCGCTTTGTCCTTCCCTACCGCTGGGGCCGCATCCTGCCCCTCCTGCGACGAAATCTGCTGCTCTGGCTGCTGCTGCTGCTGGTGTGCGGCTGCATTTACTTCCGTAGCTGCTGCTACTCCTGTGCTCATTTCCTTAGCAGCAGAAGCAGCAGCAGCAGCACCCGCGGCAGAACGTGGGACCCCAAATGTGCTTCGAGGAGAAGCGGCGGCGCCCGGGCCACCCCGGCCGCCCTGCACCGGCGACAGGGGCGGCGCAGGGGCCGCTGCTGATGCTGATGCCCTGCGGCGCCTGCCCGCTGCTCCTCCCCTCTTCTCCAGCATTGTGAGCAGAGTGGTTACGAAGTTGCGGTAGCCCATGTAAGCGAACACAATACCCACCACGCACACACCACGCATACCGCGAAGGTCGGAGCCCTGTGTGGGGGGATGTGTGGGCGGGTGTGTGGGAGGGTGGGTGGGTGGGTGTACGTATAGCAGGTTTGTCGTGGAGGTCGGTCGTGTAAGGGGTCAGTTCAGTGAAGTGTTGGCGGTGTGTGTGTGTGTGTGTGTGTGTGTGTGTGTGTGTGCAGTGCGGTGCGGTGTGGCACCCGCGGCAGCCGTTGTTCCTGACTCGGTGTGTGTCTTGTCTTGGTGTGGGTCTTGATGTGGAGCAATCAATCTGTTGGGACGGCTCTCACTGCGAAACATCGTCTTTGTGTTGATCACGGTGGTGACGCGGCAGGGTCTGACTTGGATGCAGGCGGTGCGGTGCGGCCTAACAGCACTGAACAGGAGACTAGGACAGCACTTCCAGGACCCGACCCGACCCGACTGTGCCGCCATAAGAGACCGCCGTGAGAAACGGCACAACGGTCCAACAGAACAACGACAACGGCAACGAGAACCGCCAAAACGACAACCAAAGCGGCAGCAAAATCGCAACGGTCAGGCCAGGTCAGGGGTCAGGGGTCAGGGCACTGCGCGCACCTGCGCTTCCGACTCCAGCCACCCTTCCGAGCTAAGAAAGGCGGGGTAGGTGCGCCAGGCCACTCCAGCGCCTATGGCCACTTGCAGTACCTGCAGGGCGGGACGGGTGAGGGCGGGGCAGGTGAGAGGTAGACGGGGAGAGAACTGGGCGGAGAGAGGCCTCTGACGGGAAAAAACTGGAGAGTTTGGAAGACAGAAATCACTTCATGACGACGTCGTGATATCAAGACCCCGCAGGAGTCTCTCTACAGCCGACGGGTGTTCTTCCTTTGGAAAGGCAAGTCCTCTCGTCTATATCTCGACCTAATCTAATTAACTTAGATTGAAGTAAACCTAAAAATCCAATCTTCTTTCTACTAAGGAGTGTTTAATAATTTCTCACTGCCTGAAGACTGCAGTGCACCGCCACATCCACCACCCGCCCGCCTCCCTCCCTCCCTCCAAACACACACGCACACTCATCCCCCATCAATTCACAGACCCGCCTGCCCCCCAAACCCTAACACATCCTCACACACACCTCACGTCGATAGACGTTACGCGCCCCCCACACACACGCACCTGCAGTGTGTACAACATGGGGTACAGCAGTAGCAGTTGTCCGCTACTGCCGCTGCTCTCGCCCGCAACTACAGCCATGGCGGTGTCCCGTCCCAGAGCGATGCGGGTGTACATGCGGCGGCGCTGGTAGCGGTTCTGTACGAACATCACCGCAGCTTGAAACACACTCCACAACAGAAAGTACCGAAAGAACAAGTGAACCGCTGGAAGGGGCGTGCACACAAGAGGGAGGGAGGGGATTGGGAAGTTTAGTTTCGGAGCGAGAAACCACCGTGGGAGAGAGATGGAAGGAAGAGGGAATCGACCACATGCACCCACCTTTGTCCTCCACACACACACACCCCCCACCCCCCACCCCCCCCTTCCCCCCCGCAGCCCTCCCCCCCCCGGGCCCCCCCCCCCGGGTACCGACCTGGACTCGTCACCGGCAGCCCCAAGATCACGAGGGACGCCGCCGCCGACCAGTAGTGGTGCTGAATCCACCAGGACCGGATCCTGGATCCATTTACGTACAGCACGTTCTCCCGCAGCGCCATCGCCAAGTAAAAGTACGACAACCAGGCCAGGTATAGCTGAACACCTGAACGGGGGAGTGATGATGTGGCATTTACGACATTTACGACATTTACGGGACGGGGACATGTCGCGGGAGGGAGATAGGAAGAAACGGGAGTGGAGAGGCGGCCCACGGGGGGAAGCGGATTGATTGTGATGATGATGATGATGATGATGATGATGATGATGATGGTGATGATGACGATGGTGGTGGTGGTGGTGATGATGGTGATAAGAAGTGTTGATATTATTCACGAGCCGCAAGTCATTCGCAAAACAAACATTTGCCGTCGTCCAAACGGGGGTTGGTTGCGGTGGTGGTGGTGGTGGTGGTGGTGATGGTAGTAGTGGTAGTAGTGGTAGTAGTGGTAGTAGTGGTAGTAGTGGTAGTAGTAGTGGTAGTAGTGGTAGTAGTGGTGGTGGTGGTGGTGGTGGTAGTAGTGGTAGTAGTGGTGGTGGTGGTGGTGGTGGTGATGTTGGTGGTGGAAGAAAGGAAGAAGGCCTCTCCTTTCACAGCGGCGTTGTATGAACTTGCAAGTGAAGTGAAGTGAAGTGAAGTGGGATCCCTACGGCAACCTCCCCCCCCCCACACACACACACACAATCCCTTCACGGCGACGCGAGCTGTAGCAGCCCACAGCGCACATCGGGTGGGGGGAGGAGGAAGTGGAGGGAGCTGAGGTAAGGGGAAGAGGGAGCCCTCTTCCTCAGAAAGGACAAAGAAAACCAGTACACCGTACTCCGTATTCCGTACTATATATATGTACTCCCAATCAACCATTCACCCCTCACCTTAACAACACCACTTTACACGAGTTATAAGTTCCGTACATTCAGTGCGGGCCGGGCGCCGCCCGTACAAGCCCGCGGCGGCCCTAACCCCCACCTGACCACCACCACCACCACCCCGTAACTCGGCCCCCCAACCCCAGCCCCTGCCGGCCCACACGCGCTCGCTACCCACCGGTCAGCAGCCAGGGGGTGAGCGCCCCCGTTCCGAAGGGGAGGCCCTGGTGCCGCTCCACCCAGCTCATCCCCACCACCAGGGACAGGGGCCCCAGCAACATCACGGCCGCGGAGGTGTCCCGGAAGCGGTGGTACTCCTCGCGAATGCCCTGAGCCATGAGTGGTGGGTGGATAGGGGCGGGGAGGGGGGCGGGGATAGGGGAGGGGATAGGGGCGGGGAGGGGATAAGGGAGAGGGGATAAGGGAGAGGGAGGTCGGGATTCCTCGATCGAGAAGGGAGATAGGGAAGAAGGAGAAGGTGGAGGGGGGGGATGCAGTACATGTTGCACAAGCCAGGAAGGTGCAACCCCTGGGGTGCTCCCGGAGGTGGAGGGGGAGGTGGACGGGGCAGGGGCAGGGGCAGGGGGGGAGTGGGCAGGTCTGACTTTCGTAAGGGGAGATGGAGGGGGATAAAGGGAAAGGGAAGGCGTGATTCGACGACCATCACACCACCTTAATCCTCCTTCCACACACACATACATACATACATACATACATACATACATACATACATACATACATACATACATACATACATACATACATACATACATACATACACACACACCCCACCTGGCTGACGTCCCTCCGCATCGCTACCAGATTAATCTTGTCTCCGAGAAGCAGCCGAACCAACAGAGGATTCTTTGGCTTGCAGAACTTCCGGCTAAAGGAAAAGGCAGCACCAGCAGCAGCAGCAGCAGCAAAAAAGCAACGCAAGCAGAGGAGAAACCGGAGCATCAGAGGAATGCATGAAGCTGAAGCTGAAGGCATGGCTTAGTGATTTGAAGAGGGCGGGCCCTTTTGCTTGTTGCGAAGCGGGGCCTAGAACAGGGCTAGGGGGCCTGTAAATCGGTGCCGCAGCTGCAACGTCCAACGCCCCGAAGGTAAGGAAAGGAAGGAGTAGGTACCCACAGGTCGCCTCCCGGGCCCAGACCGGTCATGACATTTCGAGCCTCCTTGAGGACTGAGCCCACGGCCTCCACATCGGTCCGGTTCTTCAATCCGCGTGCTTGCTTCTCAGCTGTCGTAATGGTCTGCAGCAGAGACTTGATCTGTCCAATATGATGAGAAAGAGGTGCATGAGGAGGGCAACGAGGAAGGGAAGCGTTTTAAGCTACGGCACGGACAGCGATGTGACTAAATCGGCCAAAAGGTTGTGACAGTGCGGAGGAGGCGATCAAGCTTTTACATCGCCGTTTGTTTCAAAGGTTTTTGAAAGACTTTAAAGTTGAGGCACGTTACGCGCATGCTAGGAGCTCACCTCGACAGCCAAAGCATCGCTTTCGCCAACTATCCGATTGCAGTATGTCAACGCCCGGGAGGATAACGCCCGACTGCAGTAGTAAGAAAAGCATTTAGAACCAGTAGTTCTTCGGCATGCAATAATGCTACCGAAAGCAACACGACGCATACCATCTTGCAAGCACCTGCTCCGCCTCAGCCTTGAGCGCCTCCGGCTCCTGAGTGAAACAGCATCAAAGAAGTAGTAATAAGGACGCGGAAAACTCAGACAACACGACACGCACTGACCTCCATGGAGGTCGAAGAAGCCCGATGTGAGCCGCAAAGGATTAGTTCGCAGCTTGAGATGGTCTAGAATTTGTTTAGTACCGGTCTTCTATTGCTGAGTCCGTGAGCATGACGTCCGGTGCAGACGACCGGTGGTCCGTACACGTCCGGTAGTCTTTCTACCTCGGCTACCCACTGCTGCCCAAACGCTTTGAATCAACCTTTGAACTCGCGGCCCACCTGTCGCATGTCCTCGTGACAAATTACGCCTATTTTCTGGGCCATGATGACCAAACTCTCAGAGTCCCATCCCTAAGGATGCTTTGCTCAACCCCACCCCAGAGATTCACGGTGAAATCTTTCCGATCCGCGCCTTGCCAAGCTCTCGGCAGACACCTTGCGTAAGATTTGCGCGATGCGCACCCCAGCACTTTGTTTTAAATCCAGCAAAGAGCGCTTCCACGGGCAACGCCTGTTCACGTTGCGAGTTGTGTTGTCGGCCCTTGGACCGTTCAAAAGACATACAAATGTATTGCGTCAAGGAATCTACAATACCGCACATAAGCTTAGATAAGGTCACCCCATCCGCTTTCCCGATATGATATAGAGCACAGTTATGGTGACGATGCAGTTAGTTCATGTGTACGACAACGTATTGAATGCGAGCAGCATGCATCCAACAAACGCGCCCATCGCCACTGAAGCCGAAAGGGGAAGCCCCACGTACATGTTTATCTCTGTCAATATTAGTGTACGGCATCACGACAAAGTAATGGAAAGAACGTCGTATAACACGCTCCCGCCATGAAGTACGACCATACTAACGGGTACGACAACGCAAGCAGCGAGAAGAAATTTTCTCTAATCCGATCCCACTCTCCCGCCATATATTCCCACAGTAACACACGTGTGACATGAAAAGCAGTCAAGAACCCAAAAAGATAAAAATAATGCAGTTTCCGCTACACTGCACACGTGCGCTCCCAGGAGCGGAAGCACAACCCCAGGATTGCCTCCAGATCACGTCGCGTCGCGAAAAACCATGCATGAAGAAAAAACCACATGCACACGAAGCCGCCCTCCGCCCATCCCACCAAGTCGAGAAGTCCACGGAATGGAGCAGCTCCGAAACCAAAACCAAACGCCAAATATCACCAACCTCCTCCTCTTTCCACCACCATCACCACCACCACCACCACCACCACCACCACCACCACCAACAACAATTTCCACTTACGAGGCCTATCGAGAAACCTGCACAGAACAGCAGCATACAGAGCACGTTTCGGTCGCACAGACTTGGCGGAAGCCAAATTGTTGCCGTACGACAGTACGACAAAATCGTACCAGACACCATTGAGGAGGGCGTGCTTCATGTAGGCGTGTTCTTATCCCTCAACATAAGGGCATGAAAGCAAAAGTATTATTTAAAAAGGAATCCAAAACACAGTCACTTTGCTTTGCAGTAGAACGCCATCGTCAATGCCCTTGGCCCCTGACCGCTCTCCACGCTTCCGCAACCATATAACTTACGATGCAACCGTTTCGCAGGTAAACAGACAGACAAACAGACAGGCAGACGGGTAAGCACGCAGGCAGGCACGGGTCCTTTCCTTGCCTTGCCTTCCTCACCCATCCCGCTGCGCAAGCAACCTGCTCATGCATCTAGTCCTGGCACGTGACACACATTAATACATTTGACGGGAGGAAAAATGGAAACTGAGAGAGGGAGGGAGAGGGAGGGAGAGGGAAAGACGAACCACAAACGAGTGAAGCTGCTGCCAGGGCAAGCGTGTACCAGACGTAGGGAGGGAGGGAGAGGGAGGGAGAGAGGGAGAAGGAGAGGGAAAAGGAAAGGGAAAAGGAGAGGGAGAAGTGGAGGGAGAACCCACTCGCAACCCACGATCTTTCTTCTCTAACCAGGGGGAAGCTCCCGAGGAGTGGTGACTCAAGTGGGTCACGGCAGCGGCGGCCGTTGGCGGAGGGACGGCGGCGTCGGCTTTCAAAACATCGCGCAGATCCCCACAGGCGCTACAGCCGTACGGCATACCAACGCCTGCAACGAATCACCAGTGACTACCAGAAACACACGCGCCATGGGTGTCGGTGCATGTCTGGCTGGTGTCAAGACTGTGACTACATGGCCTTTGCCCCTGTCCAGTACTGCGGTACGGAGTACGGCATAGTATGGAGCCTAGTCGCGAGACGTACGATATGGGGATGCACGCACGTAAAATCCCATGTTTTCACAGAGCCATTCACAGAACGGATGCATACATACATACATACATACATACATACATACATACATACATACATACATACATACATACATACATACATACATACTGCTTGGCACGGCACGGCAAGGCACTTCACTCTCCAAGCGCGCCGCCGCAATCACCTGCAGAAACAGCCCCACCATCATTCGCCGCTACAGCCGCCGCTACCAGAGCCGCCTGGTGACAAACCCCGGTTCGTTTGCGGGCCTCCCCACCCCCCGAGCCCACTGCATCCGGCCCCACATCGTGCCCTCCCCCAACTCCGTCTCGCTCTCCGCCTCCCTCATTCCCAACACGCCTACCACACGAACACGTCATCGCACCCAACCCTCCACCGCTACTCTTACTCTTACTGTTAATACCGCAACCATAAACATAAGCAATACCATTAACACTACCATAACATTACTAGTACTAATAGTAGTACTGCTGATGCTTTGCCACGCGTGTGAGCTATGGGATGTGCCATGCCCCTGATTAGCACATACATACATACATACATACATACATACATACATACATGCATACATACATGCATACATACATGCATACATACATGCATACAGTCATACATGCATACATTCGTACATACATACGTATACACACATACGCACAACAACGCCGTTGATAGTTTCTGCAACACCCTGTGCTGAATTGATGAACGGGAATGGGATCCCACGGCACGCACTCATTATGTCCGGCATTCGCAGCAGCAGCAGCAGTAGCACCAGAAGCAGCAGCAGTAGCACCAGAAGCAGCAGCAGCAGCAGTAGCACCAGAAGCAGCAGCAGCAGTAGCACCAGAAGCAGCAGCAGTAGCACCAGAAGCAGCAGCAGCAACAGTAGCACCAGAAGCAGCAGCAGTGGCACCAGCACCGAATAACAATCAGCAGTAGCCGAAAGTAGCTCATACCTGCCAGCTTCCTGGCAATCCTCCCAATTGCCATAGTGCGGCTAAGTAACCCCAAAACAGAACCAGCCACTGGCGCAGTAACCACAGCTACAGCTACAGCTACAGCTGATGCCGCCGCAGCCGCGCAGCAGCAACAGTAGCTGTAGCAGCTGGTGCCAGGGGCCCTGGAATTCGGAAATGATGATGATAAGATAAACCAGACGTCGGTCTTTCCAAAACCAAATACGACACGGGAGTACCACCACCACCACCAGATCCACCAGATCCACCACCACCGGTCGCTTAGGTAGGTCAACTAACGCGTGACATGCGTTCATGCGTACATTAACTGACATAATCTGACAGACACACAAACTGACGGACAGACACATAGATAAGACAGACAAGGCAAACAATATTTCCTTTGTATGTATCATAAAGCCAAAACAGAGAGAGAGTGATATGAAGTCTCCCCCCTCTCACCAAGCAACCAACCAACCAACCAACCAACTCTGTTTCGTGCTCGTTGGGAAGCCGTTGACGACATTCCGATTCCACACAGAAAAACTCGAACAAAAAAGTGCAGCAAAATAGTTGTGTGCGAGAGAGAGAATGTGTGTGTGTGTTGTGGGGGGGGGGGGGAAAGGGACATGAGAGTGACACCCAAACACGTCGACACATAAAAGGTCACGTGTTGTTGTTGGGGTGCGCGTGTGCTGGTTTTGGAGGTATTGGAGGCTCGCTCACCCACGAGGCAGCCACTCCCACTTCCAGAGAATTAAAGGTATCCAGGACCAACAACGACAACACGTCCTAAGCCTAGCCATGATTTTGTACGACACCGTACACGGTACGAGTAATGCACACGTCGCACACTCTACATGCAGTTATTAATCGCCTCGTGCGGCCCAGATGGGCAATTTACCGCCGCAAGGCCGATCATCATCATCATCATCATCATCATCATCATCATCATCACCACATGCTTACAATGCAGTCACAGTGCGCATACACATACGCGTACACATAATTTAGTCGTACGTATCGCCGTACAGCCGTACTGCATTTCCAACATGGCCCTAAACACAAGTGACACATGCACCAACCCCACACAACCAACCCGTCCCTTTGGATTAGAGTGGTGCGTTTTAAGGCTCTCAAGACGTGTACCTACAGCGCTGGACAGATACACATTCCGATAAACACATAGACACGTGCACGTATTGACGTACACAGCCCCTGCCAAACATACAGCAGATAGACTTGGCGTGGTAGGCAGCGACCAGCAAAGTCAGAACATGCCGGGGGGGGGGTAAAAGGACGAACCACGAACCAGGGGGGGGGCCCCCAACGCAGCGCGCGAGCGCTCCCCAGCGCGCGTCCGTCCCCAAGTTCAGCGTCCGTCCAGGGCGCCCGTGCCTGCTTCCTGCTCCGCCCGTATCCCGAGTGGCTGTGTGAGAGTGCGTGAGAGCGCGTTACGTCGGTCCGGGAAAAAAAGAAATGCTCATTCATTATTATCATCATCATCGTCATCATCATCATCATCACGGCATCATCATATGTCATGTACCGGGGTATCGCTCACGGGGTCGGTTCTTCATTCGCGCGATGGAGATGGCGATGGCGATGGCGAGGCCGCCACGTCGGCCCTTGGCTTCCCTTCCTGCACAGCAGTCGCATTTCGCAGACTACTGCATCTGGAGCATCTGCACCGATCCATGACGTCCATGCGCCTCTTCTCCACCTTTCTCTTCCTCCTCCTCCTCCTTTCATACCCCACCCCACTCCACCCCACCCCACCACCCCACCGCCCCACAGCACACGACACGTACACACACGCATACATACATACAGACGGATATACATATGGAAGCACGAACCAAGGAGTTGAGTCAGAGAATGACCGGCCGAGCGGGTGACCGGCCAATGGCGCCTCCTGTCGATCCCCCCCCTTCGGCACCTCCTCCGCCGCAACTCCTGTAACGTAACGACCGAGTTCGCTGTGTGCCGGTGCGCAACGGTGAGACGGACTGGTGTGTGTGTGTGGGGGGGGAAAGACGAACCACGTGAGAACGAGTGAAGCTGCTGCCAGAGTGGCAAGAGTGTACCAGACGTATAAAACTGACGTTATAAGGGGGGGCGACACTGTGGCGGCGACACTGGGGAGGCAACAGCGGTTACCTCCCAGTCCTTTGCTGATTCCCCCCTCACGTTGCTTTGTGTGGAGTAGGTAATAATAATGAAGGAAACTGGGTTTCATGCATGTAGTTTGG